GCGCCGCAGTCCGGGTGACGAATTATGAGCGGTATTGCACATCAGGCGCCGTAGTAATCCCTTTGGACTAACCTACGAGGTCGCAACCTAAGCTCGAACTCAGCTTGACGCAGGCTACTGATCTATTTTCGGCTATCTTTATATAGCGAGTATATCGTGAGCTGACAGGTCACGGTCACGTCTGAGGGCACAAATCTAGCTCAAGCTTGAGTCGCGAGCTGCGTTTGACTTGATTGGATGGGTGTTTCAGAAGATAGTTGGCAAATCGATCAATGAACTGCGAAGTGAAGCTGAGCCCGAGCTCAGGTTGCGACCGTACGTCACGTCCAAAGATTACTAGGTCCCCGCTTGAGATGAAGTAGTTCACCCACGTTCTACGTGCGAGTTTTTTTCTCGGCATCCTACATTTCCGGGCGCAGTAAGCTCGCCGCGAGATTGACCAAACAGTCTCCATCTCTCTGAACGTGCGTTACTGGAGCATGGAAGAGTGTTGGCTTGGAGGGGGGGGGGTCGTATGATTAACTTTCAAATTCGAGCTAAATAATTCTTTAGAGGAGCTCCCCTCAGTGGCCCACACATGAAGAAAAATTTTCAATACTTTTACAGGCTCAGATGTTTGGTTTAAGGTTTGGCAAACTAGAAGGTCAAGAAACGATGGGGAATCCAGGGGTATAAATTGCTAAAACTGTCTTTTCAAAAATGCAAAGTATTAATTGACCAACTTGTTTCTGGAATTTTGCAATCTCGCTGGTCGAGGTTTTGGTTTTTTGGTACAGTCTTACGCACAAATAGATATACAGTGCAGTAGTCGCTACAGAAACAATAATATTATTGATGTAGTGATGAATGTTGACATACTTGTGCGGCTGAAATGTAGTAAGATAAATCATACTTCAGCATTTTCATTAAACAGGGCGTCCCAAAAGTATGTAAATACTATTTGATCGTTGACATCTTTCTTCCAACAAAGTCTTTTGCCTAACCTTGAGAACCATTTTATAGAGCTGGCTTCAGCTTAAATTTGCATTATGGAGCGATCACCCATCTCGTTCATTACTATAGGATTACGGTAGGAACTTCAAGAAGGGTTTTGAGCATTGAGAGCCCTACTTCATACTTCGCCTCATAGAGCGAACCAAACAACCTGAAAGCTCTTGTACTAGCCTAGTTAGAACCGCTAAAACTAATTATGAACTGTGCTCTGTACTGCGATGCCTCCTTCACAAGTTATTCCAGGTAATCCGCAATAGCTGTCTTCACAATGTTACCTAAAATCGTGATTACACCATTTAAAAAACTTTGCGAACTCGTAAAAGGCTAAATTATGAAATCAACGCGCGTGAAAACCATAGCACATCCTAGAATTTTCGAAATACGACTAATCCACAAAGACGATGTAAACTAAAAATATCTACCGTAATTCTACAATAATGCAGAGCGATCGGTGATTCGCTTTATACTGTAAATCTAAGCTGAAGCCAGCTCTTTCATACTTTTGAAAAGAGAGATATTGACGATTCAACAGTGTATATAGTTTTGAGACATCCTGCACATTGTTTTCAAATTGAGTTTCTCTTCAAGAGCAAAACATACTTTATAACGACAAGAGAAAGTCTCGTGAACATTCCACTCAGTACATGAAGCTTACTGAGCAGTCGCTGGTTTCTGACAAAGTCTTTTTGGATTACATTTAGTTGAGGATTAAGTCTGTGCAACACGCTTTCCGATATCAAACCTTGGACGAAAAGAAAAATTTGCATAGGTGAGTGTGTGTGCATGTCAGAATAGCCCAAAATTTCCGGCGAACCTCTGCACCCGTCATGGGATTAGTGAACCAGGAAACGAATCTAGAGTTGAAAGCTGCTGGAACGGTGAAGAACATCATAAATAGAAAGTATAGACAACAGATAAACATCAGAAAATATACGCGATTGCCATCAAAGAACATTCTCATATACTGATTTCTGGTCAGATCCGCACACCGGTTTAGTGCCAAAAAAATACAAGTGAGACAGCTGGAACACCAGCAACCTGTAAATACGAATCAGTTCTCAAAAATAAAGATTTTTTCACGCTATCTTGGATGTGCGAAGAGCGGCTCCATCACATTCTAGCATAAGTAAAAAAATGATAACGTTCTTTGTTTGAAACGTATAGCAGGCAAATCAAAAATCATTTCTATCAATTGGATTGAAATGCAAGCTTTGCTCAGAGTAGAAAAACTAAAATTTTTGTTTATGGCTAATTTAAATTTTACCCATTTTTTTTGTTTTGCTTTTATTTCTCAGTCTTTGTATAATGGAGATCTCAAGACGCCCTCAGAAAGTAATTCAATTTCTTTCTCATAACATAAATACCAAGCAAAACCGTAGCGATAAAAAATCATTTTCAGGAGCGATGAGAACTTTTGGTCTACTTAGCATTGTTTTGACTAACTTAGTGAAGGCTGATAAGTGGAAGTAACTTTGATGAAATGATTGTTTTTTTCAATATGATCTGATATGTAAATAAGTATCTATAAATGGCAGCCGATTTAAGAGAAAAGTTTAGTCTCACTGCTTGTCACAGAAAGGCAGAGAAAGACTCTCTGCTGAAGTGTTCACGAACACAACAAATATGCATATAGATATAACTAGACTCTTTTGGGTTTTATGTTCAAACATGTCTGGCCTTTTCGAATATAAGAGAAAATTATATGCGTTACTTTTTCACTCCGTTTCGTTCTTTCCCTTATACAAAGTATGGCTTAATTTCTAAGTCTTCCTCGGAACTCTTCAGTAAGGAAGGAAGACTTGATATCAAATATAAAGTTGAAATTTAGATTATTTTTTGTTGGAAAGTTGAGAAGTTGAGACGTTGTTACCTCCTGGAATGTCAACAGTTTCCAAAGATCTTATTTTTTAGAAGCAAGATAGGCAAATTGTAAGTAAGAAGCGAAAAGCAAAGAAAACTTTTCTACTAGGTTGATGCAAAAATGATAGTCGTTTTTTCAAGCCTTTTCAAAACAACTTTTTTCCATCAAAAGTTTTTCTTCGAAATAATCACAGCATACCATTGAGAAAGATTTTTTGTGCTCTATCTAGCGATGGTTGAAGCCGATTACCAACATCATCTTCTAAAAAGTTATAGAGCTACAAATGACAGCATCCAAAATCAAAATTTCGTTGTATTCACTTTCTGGCCTCTCAAAAACTATCTACACCGAAGTATAGGCGCCTCAACTTGGTTGGTCGTTCTGGTCATTGTGTGGCCCTTAAATTTCTTCGGGAAAAGGCAATCGCCAAGCTTTGCTCATTTCTGTGAGCGTAATGGTAGGGTATCTTGTTAACAGTTTCTGCAAAAATTTCTGCCTGTTCAGTACGCAAAAACCTAGAAAATTCCATGATTTGGGACTTTCAGACCTAATGAAAAATGTTGAAACACTGACACTTTTGAAAAACAATTTTTTCATTTTGCAAATATTCTTTGTCCAGGCCCCTTCCCTCACCTTTGTCCTACTGGCTTGCGGCTACAAGATAGGCAACTCATCATTTACATTAACAAGCTTTGAAGGGAGTTATGATGTGTAAAAATAAGATTCAAGAAAATCATTGTTTTCATTTTCCAATCCATACCATTCTGCCCGTTTGTGGTGTGAGTATAGCTCAATGTGCGCTGTATTGCAAAAGATTTGCTGCTTCTTATAATCTTTACCGTATTCGGGTATACGGATTTTTTAGGAGATTATAGCACGTCAACGTGAGATCAATGCATCATGGCAATTACATGAACAATCGCACCCCCTCAATGAGTAGGACCTAAAAAACTATGAAATCAATCAATTTTAACCAACTGGATTAACGAACTCAAAGTTGGCTTATACCTTTAGAACTTTATAGTGATCAATAGCCTGAATAGATGCTCCTGATCAGTGCTTTGCTCGTGTTCATAAGTTGTTCATGTACAGTACGACACTCCCAACCTCATATATGCTTGATTAGTGAGCCGTTTACATTTGAAGAGGCGGTGACTATGGTCATGTTTGTGTATGATGGCACAGAGGAATACGCCTACCATGTCAGGAAATTTACAAATATCGCTTCCTCAGTTTAATACACAGCCTAGTAGTGTGTGAGTTCCCTTGCAGTCAACATTGTTACTCACTCAGTCAGTAAAATTGAAGGTTGCAGTACCATACCACATTCCATTATTGTTCCTCTCCTATTTGCCACAAACGATGGAGTCAGGAGAAAGCGATGGCATGGACGTCTCACCAGAAGAGTATTTATGCGACGCGGATTACGAAAAAGTTGAACCTTCCTATTAGAATCACAATAGCGCATTAGCAAAAGTTCACCTATCGTCTTGTAAACAAAGAGCAGGCCTAGCCTCTTTTTGGCATCCTTGCATGCTGATACGTTGCCGGAAGCACCCTGATTTGGATGAGATTTGAAGCGGATTAGATCAAGGCTATCACAGCATTCCAAGAGTTCACCAAACGGCAATATTTTTGTTTGATCGCAGGCGATCCATGCTTTGAGAGTAGCTCGGCTCAAATGGAAGCTTCAACTTTTATCAAACCGAAGTAGCTCTCAAGCATAATGAAAAATTACGCTGTGACCGTGGAAGTAAAATTTTGACACTCGATAAACTGCTCAGCTGCCAGAGACGCGACGGTCTTCTGCACGAAATCTCATTACGAACTTTACAAAGAGTGCGCGGGCTGAGGCCAAGGTCCTGTGCAGAAGGCTATCATTGATCAGGCCGTTCGTAGCTTTAGAAGGGCTGTCGATTTTCTCACTGTAAAGCTACGGCGCGGCTCTGCCAGAGCAATTGTAATTAATGTCTATTTTGCTAGAAAACGATATCCCACACCCCTGTTTTTGTGTTACCTGTCTTGATAAGACATTTGAGTTGATTACATGATACATTCGGTATGCTTAATCTGTAAGGGCACCCCTCTCAATGACCAGCAATTTCCGCTTGCCGTGTAATTTCTATCTTGAACTTCAAATACTCACCACAGCCGAAGGCACCCAAAGTCAGCAGCGTAACTGGATTTGTACAGAATACAGCTCCTTTTAGTGCAAAATAACCAGTCATGATAGAGTTGACAAGAAGCGACGACATGTCCAAAACACCAAGGAAAAACATTATTTTATAGCAAGAATTGCGGAACAATTTTGATCTCCATATAGAAACGAGACACGGTATGTAAAGAATCTTAACGGTTTACTTGCAGTGTTACTTGCAAATTTTCTTGCAAAAGTGCTTACCTCCAAGACTGTTCCTGTAACAAGAAAATAGATACCTAAAGGCAACTGCACTGCCCCGGTGGCGTACCATTCTTCCAGAGTTTTAGTTGAACAATTGTACAACGGTTCGTAAGGATAGCCATGGATTACGGTGTAAATATAAGCCATTTGCAGATCTACCGACATTTTTGCATTGACAATGTGGTGCCTGCAAACAAAATCATAGTGGCCCGTAGTAAACATCAGGGCAGCACCCTTGAGGCGGACCGCAGTTGATTTCATCGCGCCTCAGACTAGAATCCGGTGAGCTATTGATCTGGATGCGGATCGCTTCCTAGACATTATAATCAAGCGTGTTCTTGAAAAAATGACTACTTGAGTTGGTTCAGTCGAAAGGGTAGGAGATTGGACTTATACGCGCGCGGTGGTTCGACTCCGTCTAGCGATACGACTTTTGCTGCATCGCCGGGCAATCTTTGATAGCGGCCACTATCGCAATAAATAATGACCGCAATCAAGGATTTCGCCTATCTAATGCACTGATGAAACAAAAACACATTTTGTGACGAAAACTTAACGAAAAAACGAAATTGTTGCAGCGTGAATTCAATGAAATGAACAAATGAGTTCTCGTTCTCGGACAGCTCTAACAAAAATCAGTAAAGTTTACAAAAGAAGAGAAGAATTTGTTTTTTTTTGTTTTCCTCGCCAAAATCAACTGTTCATCGACCCTTTTTCGGGCGCGGTTGTGCAATTTTGCGCAGATTTTGTCTGCAGTTTTAGGCAAAGTGATGTGTATCGTAGTTACTTAGGAGCAACTTACGGGAGTTTTGCCTGCGTCTCCTCTTTTACACACTATTTGCACTCGTCTAACATCAGTTCACGTTTCAATTCAACTGAACGTGAACTGATGTGCAAGAGTTTACTGCAGCACGTGGACGGATGGTCATCTATCAGCTTACTCGCCATGCATATAGCATGGGAAGGTGGGCGGTCATCAGTTCACCTCACTCAAGCTCAACTGATGGGTTAAGTTCAGTTCACCTGAACTGATCGAGCTTTACTACGGGCCAGTGTGTTTTTTTGGCGTTGCCAGCACCTTGCTGCAATGTGTGGAATGTCATATATTAGGCTCAATTCAAATGAACTCGAACGGAAAAGACGTGGAAGAAAAGGTTCTATGTCGCTCGCAAGTGAGTCTAATGAGAAACTGTTGTTTGATGACTTTCCAACCTATTATTGTTCTTTCTTGTTATCAGGCGTAGGCAGCAACTGAATAACCTCGTTCAAAGAAATGAGAAACATGATTGCAAACAAGACCTTTTTTTGCCATCAGTATTATATTAAGTCGTTCTCCGAAGGTAATGTCCTTTTTTCAAGTAAACGCTACATTTCGTGGAAACATGATTTCTGGGAGATCTTGGTATCATTCGATGCAGCATTTCATTCTTTTTCTAATGGTTATAAAAGCATTGAACAATATTCGACAAGCTCCAGAAAAATTGACAAAATCTGCGACCCATGCTTTTTGAGAAGGTCAAGTTTCACAACCTTTCTAAATTTTTACAACAATGCTCCGAAGGAGTCTAAGTAACAGTTGATTGAGCAAACCCTATAGGAAACAGCATGATTTTTTTTCTACTTTCCATACCTCGTCATAATTTTTGTAAAAATTTTCCATTGGAATTACCGAATTTTAGCAGGCTCGCCTCAGACACAAATGCAGCAAACACAATAAATTTTCAGATTTTAAAAATTAAAAAGTTGGATTATGGTTTGACACTAATTTATACAAAGCAAATGAGCGTTTACCGCTTCAAAGCAGCAATTTTGAGGTACAGCCTGGGGCGTCTGAAAAATCCGAATTACGATGATTTTATCCCGGAAGACTATATAAATCGGAAACCAAATACAAGTGGTAAAAAGGAGAGAAAAAGCTACGCCGAACGACACACGAGTTGCGTGCCGTTTATTGTTCTTTGAGGTTTGAGTTGCCAAATATGGAATTTGATAGCACCGAAAAATTGATTCCAGAAACTCTAACAAGGAAAGGATACTTGGTCGAAGTGGCGTTTCCATACGAAATGTATACATTCTAATAGAACATGAAACGCTGATTTCAAATCTGCTATTGCTATCTGCAAAGCGCTTTTGGGAGGGGAGTTATGAGAGTTTTTACAGCAAAAATTTGAATGAATTTGAATGCACGGTCACAATAAAATTATTTATAGCTGTAGTCTGTGAGCTCAAATGGGGCCATAATTACTGCCTGAGCGTTTTTTGTAATGAAAACCTTCAGTCTGACAAACTCATGTCTCGTTACTTCTTTCAAGCGCCGCAAAGACCTTAACGCTTGTTTTCACTTGAACCAAACCCTTGAATTTTTGACTCAAAAAATTCCTATAATTCCCTTCCCAGACGCGTTTTGCTGAAAACAAAAACAGTTATGGAATCAGCGTTCCATGCTCTATAATAGTTGATATTTCATATAGACTCCACTTCGATCAAGAATCATTTTTTGAAGTAAAAATTCAAGAGTTTGGCTAAGGCAAAACCAGGTTTTAGGCCATTTCTAAGCTTGAAAGGATTAATGGCTAGCATGAGTTTACTAAAACAAACGTATCAACTGCATAAAGCGCCATGGAAGTAATCACGGCCCCATTTGAGCTCACAGACTATAGTTTTGAACGGTTTTATGTACCCGTGCGTTCAAGTTTTTGGTTCAAAAATTTCCATAATTCCCTTCCCAGAAGCGCTTTGCAGATACCAGAATAGATTTGAAATCAGCGCTTTATGCTCTATAAGATTGTATACATTTCATGTAGAAACGCCACTTTGACCAAGTATCCTTCCGTTATAAGAAGCAGACTAAGGAAAAGAAAGAATTTGTTTTGTGTCCTATAGGATTTGCTCTATTAATCTGTTACTTGCACACCTTCGGGGAATCATTAAAATATATTAGGTTGTACACTAAGTTTTGCAACTTCTCTCATAACTTCCCTCTCACTCAACATGGTGCACTCAAATTTTGCCACTGTGTTGGTTATTATGTATACTACAAGCGCAGCTGCTGTCCTTCCAAATTCTGACGTCGCAGTGAGGGTTACGGTAGGTGTATGGTATGGAGGGGAAAAATTCAAAGTTTGACGGATTTGGCTGAAACTTGGCATAGGGATGTTATCCGACATGCTGATCACGAAAGCGATAGTGAAATTGCGTGATAAGGGCTTTTTTGTAGGATTACTGTAGGTGTACGATATGGGGTCTCACCCTAAACAAGGAAAAAGGCGTTGATTCAACAAATGAATATGATATTCGCATTCGGCAGGTCAAATAACCTTACTATGTGAATTCTCGGCGGAATTTGAGCTTCGGACTCTTTAGTCATTGACGGCCGTCCTCAGCAGCTCTTGCGTACATCGACTCGTTCGACTTTATGAGGACGCCAAATCTCGACATGCCCATAAATTTTGTTTCTTTCATGCTAGGCCAAAGGAGTCAACCTCTTGCAATAATTTGTAGACGAATCCGGATTACTGCGCATGGTCTAGGCTGCCAAAGGCTTCATTTTAGCTTGAAACCTCAAAAATTCTCAAATTTTACTAGTTTTCGAAAAATGCCTGAAACTTTTCTATTTCGTGTTCTAAATTCAGACAATTTGTGCTCACTTGTAGCTCACATTGCATTCTACATGATGCCAAAGTTTGAGGGCGCCATGTTGAATGAGAGTGAAGTTATGAAACAAGTTGCAAAACTTAGTGTTCAACCTAATAAAAATAATCCGAATTTGACCATGACAAAAAGCATGAGTCGCAGGTTTTGGCCATTTTTCGAGGGCTCATTGAATATCATGCAATGAAATTACAACCATTAGAAAGAGGACAAAATGCTGCGTCGACTGATCTTAACATCTCATGAAAATCTTGATTCCACGAAATGGGGCGTTCATTTGAATAAAAAGCGACATTACTTTCGGGACGACCTAATAACTGAGCAAAAAAGCGATAAACAAGTTGAAAACAGCAGCAAAGAAGAGAAACTTGGTGCTTACAGCTGAAATGGCGGCGGCAAGTACGATTGGAGGTATAAAGCCAGCCCATAGTCCCCTAGTCCCTGGGATGAGTGTCACTGAGTGACAGCAAAGACAAATCATAGAAAATTTTGAAACTTCCACAATAACCTCTGAAGCTCAATGAAAAAAGCAAGAACACTTCGGTATTTTGGCATTGACGGAAAAATATTAGGTTGGCTAATAAATAAGTTCGGTCGCTTTTGCGGTTCTTACAAATGTTGCGAACGAATTTTTGTCCAGGCTTCAATATCTCTGGAAAGAGCACTTCAATGTGAATTAAAGTATAAATTTTGTTTGAGTACAACTTATCTTGCAAAGAAAAAAGTCAGCAAAGAAGTAAGAAACCTCAATTTTTCCATAGTGCGCAAATATGAAAATTTGATTTTTTTGACAAAAGAATTTCAAAGTGACAGATCACAATTTTCATTGTTATTCAGTAAATAGGAAAACACTTCTGAATTCAAGTACCGAACTGCTATTCTCTACATCCAACACAGCATGAGAACGAAGCTTAGAAAGTCAATGAAATGAGTTGGGAATTTAGCTATGCTGAGGCATAACTGTTCTTACTGATGATAGAAAATCCCAATTTGATATGTGATAGAGGAAGCTTTGAACCACAAAGGATCATGGATAGAAGGCGACAAGAAAATTTTTTGTGAAGATTTGCATACCAAAACGAACTTATTTTTTAGCTGACCTGATAATATCTACTTTTGCTTTACTGCAGTGAATGCAAAGCTAAATAAAGTCCGTCGCCACTCGTGTGAACTCGGACCAGTGCTGCGGATTGCCTTAAAGCTTCAGTGTGTGGCAGTGCACAGTAGCCTGTGTTTGCAGCCCACAGCCTAATATGCACTTTTGTACGCGCTAAAACCGTCTATATATTTGTTTTTACCTTCTTTTCGCAATATTGTTGCAATTTGAACAAGCTGAAGCCGTATTACTCTGCCTTTCTGCCCTCTGATGTCTGGCACAATTTTACAAAAGGATGGCTCCACATGTTCAGCGCTTTCACCACTCCATAACTTAAATACAAAAATCTGATTGACTCTTTTATCACTTATATGCTCACATCTCCCTCCCCGTGCAAGAGTTGCGATGAGGCTTGGCACAGATTGCGTAGTGTAGCTGCGTACGTCGTGTACGCCGCGCAGTCTGGCTCAAGCCTTGTAGCAACTCTGCTTAGAATTGTACTCACAGACAGCTTAAAATCTATGAGTGTAGATAAGTGCGAATGCTTATGAGCGCACGCACTAAAATCCCCGTCGGGGAGAGGATCGCAGCTCAAAAGAAAGTTTTAAATTCCGAACCACCAGATATCTAGATTTCAAGCCATATCATCTATCCGTAGGTATTCTCACCATCCTTCACTACGAACATATTGAACAGAAGCAAGAAACTGTACATGCCGCATTTTACAGCTTTTTGTATGATCCCCTGCTGATCCTCGGTGGTCGAGCGTCTTTTTTTCAAAGTCATTTTTTTCTTCGAGGTTGACGAAAGACTTTCAAAGTTGGACTGTTCGTCTAACTCAACTAAGTATGTTGGTGATAAAAACAGATGAGTTTTAAAAATCGAATTATTCGATAACCCCAACATTCGACTTGTAGTTCATCGCAAATTGCATGATTCCAATACATCCGTTGTTCTTATCAGCAACATGCTTAGCACTATAAGGCTAGATGAACACTACCTTTGGAATGTTTTCGCTAACTTTGAGGAAAGAATAATAACTTTGAAGAAATGACCATTGGCCGCCAGGGATCAGGGTATCATACAAAATGAAGAAAAAAAGAAAATGAAAATGCGGCTTGTGCAGCTCTTCGCTCCTGTTCAATATGTTCATAGCGAAGAATGATAGGAATAGTTCCGGATAGGTAGACAAAGTGTGAGATCGAGACATCTAGAGTCACTTTATAAAACCTTCATTTAAGCTGCGATCCTCTCCCGGCGGGGATGTTAATGCATGTGGCCCTTATACGTAAGAGCACTGTTGCAACCTCATAGGCTAATTTCTAAATAACCCATCAATGGCTTTAATTGGTTTCT